TCCGTGGTGGACGTCCTCCGCGTATTCCCCACAAGCACGCTGTTCTGGCCATGGTTCTGCACTTTTACACCGCTGCTCTGGAATCAAAGACACTAAGGAGCTCTTCGGCCTGTCAACCTCAACCTTCTCCAGAGTCCTGCACAAAGCTGAAGAAGCTCTTTCTGTTGCGTTGAAGGCGATGAAGGATGCGCGTATCCAGAGGCCATCCAAGAAGACCCAGGCATTTTGGGCAAGCAAGACGCAAGAGAGGGAGCCGCTTGTGACGGGCGTGTTTGCATTTGTGGATGGGAAGAACTTTCGCGTCCAGGTCCTTACCAACGCTAATCTGCAAAATGCGTAGTGCAACGGTGTGTGTGCTTGTCACTTTACTGTTTAAACACGTACATAGGCTGGCTGCATTCTGTGTTCGTGTCTGGTGTTCTGTGTTTCGGGCCGGACGGCACTTTGATTTGGAGACGGCACAATTGCCCTGGCTCGTGGAACGATGGAGAAATGAGTCGTCGCCTTCAAGAAATTTTGGCTGGCAAAAATGAAGTCGGAAGTGGCATGAAACTTGCGTCTGATTAGGCATTTCCTGTCAGTGGTCGGTGCGCGGGAAAGATTGTTACCCCCTGAAAGAAGGTGACATTGATAGGTATCCTCAGGAGTGTCGTCTGGGTCTACAGACTATGAGTGATTGCATAACTTCTCTACGTCAGGCAGCAGAGTGGGGTATGGGCGCAGTACCAAAGGTGTACCGACAGCTATTGTTGCCGTTGCCATACAACCCCATGAAGCGGCAATTGAGACTGGAAAACATCTTCCGTCTGTACAACTACAGAGTTCGTCGAACGGGGATAAGTCAAATCAAAAATGTCTTTGGTGTTTGACCAAGTTGTAAATATGCATTTTAACATGTCGAAATAATCCTAGATGAGCCTAATTTAAGTAACACAAAGCAGTATGTCATGTAAAAATTTCAACATTTTTTTCGAGATTCGCCGAATTTAATGAAATCTAGGCGATATATTCGGAATTTTTGAATTCCAGGTTTTCGACATCCTAAACTAAAAAGAGTCACCATATTTCAACCTAAATAGGACAAAACTCGCGAAATAATCCCATTTTCATGCACATTGAAGCAAAAAATATTCAAAATGACAGCTCGAAAACATTATTTTTCACTTTTATCACCTAAGAACCTCAAAAACATCATCATGAGTCTTTCTTCACGGCGATGCTCTCTTTCAGCGCGCTCTTCGTCGATTCGTTCTTGGCGTTGCTGCTGCTCAACACGCCATTGCTGCTCCCGTTCCAGACGACGCTCCTCGCGTTCCGCTGTGTTTCTTTCAACCATGAGAATAACAGACATCATGTCATCTGCTGCTTTGCTGTCCGCGCCTGCAACGCCGTCGATAAACTTGTCAATTGAACGTCGCTTCTTGGCCGCGTACGACTGGATCCCTGTGGTGCTTCAACCGCTGGCTCAGAAGAGACAACTCGCTGGCATTTAGGCCAGTCCGGATCGCGCGCTCTTCACCTTGTTCCTCGACCCCTTGATCTTCGACGAGCAGGTGACCAACATCGTTGGCTTCACCGTTGTCTTCATCAGCTAGATCAGGCACGACGTTAATGGCACTAAGACAACCATTTCGCTCATCGTTGTGATCTTCCTCGTCGTTCTCGTCTTCCATACTGAGCACCGCCGCCTCGTTGTCGATCTGTCGACTGATGCGCTTCGCACGCACCACGTCAC